TTGTTATAATGTGTATTTTAGAATAGTTCCTCATCACATAAAATAAGACTGGGCTTATTTAAATGTGAATACTATACAAAATTTCAAAACCTGATTTTTAGAACTCAGAAAGAAAATTTCTCCTGACAGAATTAATCTGGAGAGAATGACCAAGCAGGTCATGGTCTGAAAATAAACATTAGAGTAGTTACAGTGTATAGAAATGTGGAAATGTGTGCCATAAATCCTTTACCAATTTATGATGTTATTGGAATAATTATTTAAAACTCGATGCCTTAAATCTTGATTGCCTACAAGTCATTTTGCCTTTTCCTAGGAAGGGCACTTGAAATTTAGGTATATAAAAAGATGAGGAAAAAATAGTAAGAAAACTGAATACACAATGAATATAAAATTAAAAACTGCATTTGAAACCTTTCCAATACAATAGAAAAATTTGCACTTTCATAATTAATGAATGACCTTTCCTTCCTTGCCCCAGATATTAGTTGTTTGCAACAAATGAACAAAAGAACAAATCACTTGAAGTCAGTGAAGCCAACACAACAGCTTCCATAAAACTCTTTGCCAAACTGATTAGATTTGCAATTCACTCACTAAGCCTGCCTGGTCATGGCAGCATCATGCAATGAATCCTTTCATTGAATAAAACTGGAATTTCAGAGAAACTAATTTTTTTTTTGTATGAATACTTCTGTAGTGCTTGTTTAAACATGAAATTGTTCCTGATTAACTCATGTGTGAGCAGTCTTATTCTGGAAAAAAAAATAAATCTTCCTGTTAAGCTAAATGTAGTTGTTTAATAATTAAACAGAAGCAGTTAATTGGAAAATACTGCATATGCAGACAATCCTAAGTCATCTTCGTTTGGTGGATGCAAATGGTTAGTGGTTGGATAAAGAAGTGGTATTTTTAAAAATTCTTCCTTGGATAACAGACTTTCTTAATTTGTTGATTTTCTTAATTTCTTAATTTGTTGGACTAAATGAGAAAGTGAAAGTATCTGATAGTTTTTGCATGTAAAATAACAGTACAGGTAGATAGGCACAAAGGTAGAAGAATCTTTTGTTTCTGTATAATAACTCACGAGGCTCTAGAAACTAAAGGTTGCATTGCTCAGTAGGGAGCTTACGAGAACTACAGAGTGTCCTCAGTGTCCACATAACTGCTCTTCACATCCAGGCAAAGCAGGGAGAGAACAACCTGATTTTCATTCAGACAGTAACTCAAATCCTGAGTGGACTGGGCCTTTACAGACTTTACCTTTTTTTTACAGCCTTTGCATAATTAACACTTTCATCATTGTTAGTAAGCACATTAGCAAGTGAGACTTAATTTAACAAAAGATTGGATTTGTTCATTATGGATTGATTCAAAGGACTAAGATTAATTAAAACTGTAGATTGTCCAGAAAAGAAATATTTTTAAATGGTGATCCAAATGAAGTAAAAAAGATGACTGTGGTGCTCAGTTCTACCTTGTCCAATTTGTACTTCAGAAATCAGGACGTTAATCTAAAGAGAAAAGTGAATGCATTTGTTAAATTTATTTTTATTTAAAAAAGAAAAGAGAAAAAACTTCTATTAGGAAAGAAAAGGTAAAGAAAGTAGAGGAAGCATCTTTCTGAGGCTACTGGCTTTAGGCCTTAACCAGAGAAGCATCCTCTGCTGGCTTTGTTGGCAGTGGTCTGAAAGCCGTGTTTAAACATGTCTTGAACACAGGTCCTGTTGAATTAGTGGCAGACATGGTTTGTTTGGCACGTGTGAATGAGGTGGCTGTAGTACCAAAGTCGTAAAATTGTTATAGATAGTGACTATCAAAAAACTTAAATCTGTTTTTAAAAAAAAAAGGTCAGATTTCTTTGCACCGTTCTTGTCAATCACTGGAAACCTCTGTGCAAACTGAGTGGGCTTTAGCTCCTCCATGGAAGCCAAACAGCCAGCTGGCTGCCCTCACAGCTGGGTCTGATCCAGGACATGATGGGGGGAGCAGGTGTAACAAGTGTAGTAGTGACCAAGCAGCTGCTTCCACTAGTTCAGTGCAAGGGGAGCTGGGGGTCTCAGCTATGCTGTACTGTTACAGTAAGCTAGGTAGTGACCTAGAGACCAGATTCTTCAAGTGACTAATTCCTGGTCTTGTGCTTTTCAGACTCTGTCCCAGGGCCACGTCCTGTGTGTCCAGCACCCCGTGCAGCTCTTGGAGGTAAGTGCTATCAAGGTTGTGTGGAGTTGTGCTTTGGGTGATGGCCAAAGATTCTTTAGTGAGAGTCTGTGTGAGCTAGGAGAACAAAAGTGTTCTGTCCTAAACAATGATTATTTTTGGCTCTTGATAGAGTTAAAGTATGTCCCATGAAGGTTCATCTTGCTTCCTGAGTTCCTAGGGAGAATCTCCAGGGAGATCCTGTGAATATCTTGCTTGTAAGCCTTCTCTTTTCCTCCCTGGCTCTCTGCCAGCACCTACTCAAGAAATACCTTGCTTACTTTTTTAATGTCCTCTGCTAGCCTACAATGGTTGTAGCCCAGCAATGGTTGGCTGTTTTGGCCCAAACTGGCTGGAAGATGCACATATAGACAGACATTGAGGGAGAGTTGGCTAGAATTGCCTAAAAGTTTGCATCTGGTATCAGGTTATGTCTCTGCCCTGGTGAACAATGGTATAAAACAAGCAAGGTTTTACATGCAGGATAGTGTTGTAGATCAAGGAGCATGCATGGTATAGATGAGTCTGGGACGCAGGCAGTACTACAAGTTTCACCTGTGGTGATGCAAGAGATTTGGGGATATATATGTCTGGCTGAGAGAGCCACAAAATGGGGCTGCAAAGGGGCCTATGATGTGTATAATGATGTTTAAGCTTAGGCTGCCCTTACTGGGGGGGGAATCTTATATAGTGGTGTATGTAACTAGTGAATTAGAATACAGGCATACGTTCAAAATGGCCGCAGTTTTATGCCTTAGTTATCAGTAATTTTGAAGGAACATCCTTAATTCCTTCCACAGCAATCCAAACTATGGTGTTTAGTTCCCATTTGTCACCAGCATTTCTCTGATCTCTGCCTAGCTACACTCATAAAGTACCTCCAAGTATGTTTACAAAGATGTTTACTCTCCAAACAGTTCAGGCTGGTCATTCTGAAACTACTTAAGGAATGTACCTGACAGCTTGGGTGGAAAAATATTCTCTCTGTGTAAAAGACTTAAAGAACTGCTATATAACACTGGTCGCAGTGTTTGCCAAAATTCTGAGTCTGGACCGAAATATTTCTTTCAACTCTTATTTTTATTTGTGTAATACTTTGTATATTATATAGAAACATTAAGTTAAAGCCCTGACACTAAATGTTACAAACTCAGACTTAAAGACTTTAAACATGGAATATGTTTAATTCTAAGCAATTTGTTTACAGAGGTAAAATATTTCTACTTTGCAAGCCAGTAAAGAATGGCAGAGTTATGTCTGTAGTTGTTTTGGACATCAAAGAGAAAAATAAAAATTGTAAGAACATACTGACATCTTCATCTGGCACTGTAGTTAATCGGATTTAAATATAGCAACAAGTAAAAAGCTGCATCTTGGGAATCTTTCTGAAAAGATATTAGAGAGATTGAGATATTCGTCATTGTTATAAATGATATAAATATGATGAGTGTCAGTTCTGCATAATTCAGAATACCAAGTGTGTAAATATATCTATTTTAATGCTCTGGTTTCTAGACTGCTCAGAGCAAAACATTTTGTTTACATGGTGTTGAGCAGTTTGTCTCCCTTACCACTGTACGCACTTTTATCCCCTGTGCTGCTGTTTGCTAGTCCTAATGTCATTGTTAACTGAGAAGCAAGAACAGCCATAGAGGATATACTGGCAAAAATAGTCTGATAGCCTGGCTACATAAGAATTCAACTGTTTATTGCAGCTGTTGAGATGCATCTGTTCAATAAATGTAAACAACTTAGAGAACATGCGGTTCTAAAAATGATATGTGTATTGCGTTTAGGAGAAACCATCCAGAAGGTTGATCCAGGCTACTAACACTTAAAACTAGGTTATGTTTCTGAGCTGAAAAAACTCGTAGCTTTAGACCTTGCACAGTGAACAAACCTTTTTGACTTGTATCTTTTTTCATCTGGAATTACATCAATTATAAAATCAAGCCCTTTTTTTTTTTTTTTTTTTTTTATGAAATGGGAAGGGGATGTTTACGTATTTTGGCTTTTCAGGACCATTTGATGTGCTGCATTAAAGCTGCACATCTGAGTATCCGCAAGTTGTGTATTTCTTTGCGTAGTATGTTTTGTTCATATAAAAGTTCAGAAATGTAAAGCATTGTGTCTTGCCTTCCTTCTAGTGAAAGCCTAAAATGTCTTGCCAAGCTCTAGCTTTTCCATCCCACCTCTTCTATTTTCTAGAAATTATTTTTTTCCTTTGTAATTAACTACACGGTTGTATGGAGGAGGAGAGTATTGCTGGCAGTAAGGCTTGCTCAATATGTAGACACAGCAGGCAAACACCTTGTAGCCCTTTGGCCGAGTATCAACACACTGTTAATAAGCAGACAGCTTGAAAATTTGGCAATAGCAGAGCATTTGTTACAAAAAAGAGAGACACCTTTGATCTGGCCATTGCCTTTCTTAGAATCACTCCAGTATTATGTGTAGCAGAGTGCTCACGTTTAATTGGTCATCATACCTAATCTTGGTCCCCCTTTATACAGGGATGGTACAAAAGAGGAATTCCTGAAGTATGTGTTAGTTATCTATAACCCACAGCATGTTTGTTTTGGAGGAAGAGCAAAGGAAGGAAACTGACATTTTTTTAAAAAACTTTTTTTTTGCCTCTCCTCATCTAGAGCAAATGAAAATAGTACAAAATTATGAGAGACTATCTAAGGTAACCCTAAGTTGTTTGTGTGCAGTTCTGCTCCACCCTGTATATAGTCTATTTTTGTTGTTCCTACTGTGGTCACTCGAGACAGGTTTTAATAGAACTATGTCTTGGAATGCTCGTTACTGTATCTGGAGATGAGAAAACTCTGTCTCTCCTCAGCAACCTCTGTGGATAACAACAAACAGGTACAACGTGCCCAGGCAGCACTGGTTAGAGGGAGGGAGGGAGAGGGAGAAGTCGGATGAACCTAATGTGTCAGTATCATTCAGATGGCTCAGGATGAAAGTATTTCTGTGACTCCCTACACAAGTTGAGTACAAGCATTACTTAAAAAGTAACTATAGTTACTATAAGAGTATTGTAAGCATGCAAGTTGAAATGGTCCTGAAGGGAAAACTGCTAAGACTTTGGTACAGACCTCAACGCTATTTTAAAAGACTTGTTTTCAAATCTTTACTAATTACTGTGAAATACGTGGATTGTAGTAAGCCTACTTGTAATTAGTCTGAGACCCTTTCCCCTTATGGGTCCTTTAGTGAAACCATAGGGCGGTGTTTATGCCAGTACAGTTTTCTGCTGTGGCAGTGACTGTGAAGTGATTGAACACTGGATTAAGACTTTGAATGAGTTGGGCATGAAGAGTAAGCAGGGAAATCTATTAGCAATAAATATCTGGGAGTCTAATTTAACAAAATGTTTTGTTTCCACATTAGATGCACATTTCTGGTGTGTTTTCTCCTCTCTTTTGATCAAGGGTGTTTTGGACTTGTGCCAAAGACTTGTCTGTACATGGAGTTATCCTAGAATAATTACTCTGGAAAAAGTAGCCTGGATTAACTCCATGGGAGCAGAGTATTGTTCCAGAAGGAGTTATTTGGAGTATTGACATATTTGAGTGCTCTGTCTTGATTGCTCTTTTCTCACTTTCTCTGGAATCTCTTGTGTGAGAAGAGAAGCTTCTCTCTTCATATCCTGGATATCGGTAGAAAAGAAGAACAGAGTATTGTCATGCTGCTTGGCACTTGTGAGGTTTTAAAACCTTGCATCCGCTTCCCTAAACCAGAGCACTAAACAAAGACTCTGTTGGACCCAAACCTCTCTCTCTCTCTCTCTCTCGGGTGGATGAAGTGCATGAAGGCATGCTTGCAAATACCCTTCCGGAGTTACAGGTGAAAGCATGAGATAAAATGATCTGGGATCCAAAACCACGTATTGTTTTCAAACAATTAAAAGGTAGGGGTAAGAAATTCTCAGATCTATTCAGAGATAGGAGATGCCGGAGGAGGCTCATGTAGTCTTGAGTCTGTCTCCTCGTGTGCTGTCTGGAAAACAGAGATACATCTGCACTGATATTCCCCCCGCCCCGGCGTGGTGTTTGGGGAGCGAAGCCTGAACACAAGAAGCACCTGTGTACTGGGGTCACGCCGTCCTTAGCTCTGTACCGACCTTGCAGCATTTCAGCAAGGTGTTACGCGCGTGTTCAGTACTCGGACGTGCCGCCGAGCATCACCCAGACCCGCCGGCTCTCACGGCGCTCCCCGGCACGGCTTTATTTTCGGTTGTGAAGAGCAAAGACCCGCGCGGCTGGGGGCGCGGGGGGCGGTGTGTCCCCGCGGGCTTCGGGAGGCG